GGTCGGTGACCTAACTTACGCTTCCTCAAAGCGCAAAGCTACGGCAGCCCCGCTGCAGCTTGTCTACTAACACTGTGAGGTATGAGGCTGTGTTGTGAACCAATCATCTATCGCTCTGTTACGTGCCAAATGATCTTCAGCAAACAGGCTTGTGCACCCGGGTAAGCCCAGAGGATGTGCTCAAGTGTTTTTTTCGCCCCACGGTGCTGTAGTTTGCGACAACTGTTGTTTCTTAAAACAAAGCGAATCGTCTCACGTTCATAGGGTACCGTTTGGCGGTAGCGTGCCACCCACTTGATCGTGTTGAAGTCTGCAGAAAAACCCAAATTAGCGCCGATGCATGTTCAGATCTTTTGTACCGCCGAAATGGCTGTTTTTCTATTGCTGGAAGAACGAATTTGCTCGCACTTGTATCGAGCACGCTCTTTGGAATCTTGCGGATGTGAGGTGCTCATCGAATACGATGCTTCTATAGCTCGGCTCCTGAAGTTCTGTTGACAATCAGCAGCCGTCAGTGAGTCCTTGATATATTCCAATTGCATTATGTATTCTACTACTCGCTTGCTCTGACACAATATGACTTGAGGCTGTAGTCACCGTTATATCTCTAGTATCGTCTCTCGCAAAGTAGTATTCAGTGTAAGGAGCTATAATGGCGCGGAGATAAGACCTGCTGGACTCGAATTTTCTACATTTCAAACACGGTGCGCACAGCAAAGTCCGATCGTTACAGGTTTTGAAATGACGATAGAGTACATCCTGATACCAACGTCATGCAGAAGGAAAGCCGCTAGTTGTTATGGGCTGTAATTAACGATTGCATGAAGCTATGACGATTCTGCGTGCGTAGTGAGAATTTATATCAAAGGGATTACAGTATGGCGTCTCCACGTTCATATGTGACAACTTTTAGGAAGTCACAAACATACAGGTGCCTATTTAAGGATTCGCTGATGACAAGACTGACAAGACTGACATGTCTCTGTTTTTGAATTTGGTTGGCGTGAGCCAGTCACTTTTGCCAGGAACTTTCGCGAAAGCTCAGAGTCAAGTTTTTCGAAGTGTAAGCTCCGTGCACCCAAGATCATGTATAAGCTCAAGCTGAGGTTCCACCTCACTACATCCTTCATTGTATTCATCACATTTTAGTGGCCCCGAGTTTTGAGGAGCCCTTGGGATGTTTTGCATGTGGCCCCAGAAACCATGTCCTCATTTTGATTCAATTGCAAATCGTCCTTCATCACTCAAATCGGGACTGTCCTTCTCCCTTTACGACGGGGATCGTTTGTGAACAGCACCCTCCTACACCTGGTAGCACCTCGCAAAACGACACTGAATTTTGATCTGACGACGTGGCTGATATCCACGTTGCACATTCCTTTCCAAACCATACTCTTGATCTTGTTCGAGCAACATGGAGGGATTTAGAGTACCACTCAGTCCATTGGTAGCGCAAGTTAAGGTGTTGACAACTGAGATAATTCCCCACCTGTGTTTACATGAGTGGACGGCACTGGAGCAGATTCGAGGGTCACTAGAGATGCTACTATGAATAGCTTGCTGCAGTCATCTTCTCTGGATAATCAGAAAAACGCGGCTGTTAGTTTCATGCATTATCATATTATGAAAAATCAAAAGCACGTCACAACCCGCAATTCTCTTTCAGAGCGATGTCTCTAAAGCAAAATGTTTCTTTGTACCGCGGTGGGGACATGATCTGTCGAGTTGGATACAACAATCACTCCAAGATAACTGCGAGACTCTTCGCAGCAAGTGTTGTTCGAGGGTCGTGAGAAGAGTTGGGCGTATGGTACGCGATTAGCCGTACGAACGCTTCCAGGTTCTACTAAAAGAGGTAATATAACTACCATGAGTGGGTTTCGCCCCCGTGATAAGTTGTTGAAGCTTCGCCAAGTTCAATGGACCTACACTCGTATGCACAGCGATCTCGTTCCTAGGTAACGAGAATTGTGATTCATGCTCAACGCAAATTGTAACGTATGTGGTGGGCTTGAATGATGGGTCGATCTAGAATCGATTGCTCCGTGACTACCTTAGACGCTGGACGAAGTCATCAACCATGCGATGCAAAAAGAGTTCAGCATTACTCAAGCAAAGTACAGTGACCTCGTACCAAGACAAGCGCACCAGTGGTCTGCTACATATGATGGTACAAAGCCAATGGACATTTCGTACCCTCGCAACGATGGAAAGTGTTTTCGATGTAGAAAGCCGGGTCATATTGCTCGGAACTGTAGAGTGTCTTTGCCCGCACGGCAACCGACAAAGGGTGCTCATCTGGTTACTCGCGAACATTTAACCAATTCGAATACACTCAAGATTAGAGAAACGGAAACGAACAGTAGAGGCAAGGCCCCTCGACTGAGCCGGAGAGTAGTACTGTGGATGCTATGAATACATAAAGTTCTAACTTCCACGTGCATGAGGGAAATATAGTCTTCCCTAGGAGTGATAGTAGTGTCAGCCGTAGTGCAACTTTGATTCTCGAAAAAGTCTCTGTAGACATTTATTTAAACATTGCTACGAGCCTGATTGACACTGGTGCGTTAAACAACTTTGTTCGAGCACAGATTGTGTCTGGGCATCGTGTTAGCCTGCCCAAATAATCTTTTGCTCAGCGAAATTATTTACTATGAATACCAAAGCAAGTCAGTTGCTTGGCAATGAAGTTTAAATATTTATGAGGTGAAGAATATTTTATCCTTCTCGACATCGATGTCAAGTTTGATTTCATCCTAGGTACGCCATGGTTGAAGCGATATCAGCCTGAGATTAACTGGATTAATATGAAGAGGTTTATTAACAACTCCTGCAGCGCTAATTTGAGCTGCATGATGATGAACAAAGAATATCGGCGCATGCATCTGCTGAAGAAGTCGCAGATATTTTTCGAGTGATATTGTGGTATGCGATGCCCCCCTGGTCATAGGACAAGGTCACGAAGACTAAGGAATCGACACCAGCCGGAGGTGAAGCGGCTAGCCGCCAAAAAAGCTGAATTCTTTGCCATCGACATGAAAGTCATGAGCAATAGTAGTATGTAAGGTAGTGGTACTGAGGAGAAACCCATCTCAAGAAAAAAAGAACATCGCTAATACGAGCTTTTCTTCAAGTAATTTGCGTGACCTGATCAAGGTACAGGTTGCATTGACGAAGGAAGCATCCAAAAACAAGATACATCGAGTAAGCGTGCAAATGTTGTGGCCAAGAATGAAGTATGTGACTTTAATGTTATTCGTCACGTGAAAATTGACAATCCTCCAGTCAAATGAATATTTTTTGCCGATAATCGATTTTGAGGTGGAAGTTTTGGATGACAAGATACTGAAAAGAGGTTGATGAAAAGTCATGGGACGCTCTCGTACCTAATCTTGCACACGATTCCATCAAGAGATATTAAGATATTTTCCTCGATAAGGTGTCGGACGAATATCATCTGACGCGACATTCGTCATATAATTGACATATGTTTTTGTACGAAGTATTGAATCACACGGCAGTAGCCTTTATCAAAAAAACAAGCCATCGAATCGACGATTGTTTGCCCAGCGAAATTAGGCAGGTAGATCAAGTATCCACATCATAGCCCTACCTTTTGTGTAAAAAAGGCAACTTTTAAAATGGAACATTATTCTTGTTTTCAATAAGCTTAATGACGCTACGTATGGATTCAATCTTTGATAGAATGGTTGGCATTAATAGTTCTCTGCTTTCAATCTTAAAGATAATTCTATCAGATACGAATGGACGATAATGATATAACACTGACTGCAGTCAGTACCCCTAGTGTTATGATGTGGAAATGGTAAGTGATACAACAAGGGTTAAATAACCCCTGCTGCTTTCGACCGAAGTCCATCAAGAAAGCTTGTACCGAGTTGCCTTGGCGATATATTCACCCATAGTTAGAAAACGGGCGGGAATTCAGATGTCAATGTTCATCTTGATCATGTCAGTCAAGTCTTGAAGTTTAAAGAGAGGATAAACCCATCGCTACTCGAAAAAATTAATTCTCTGCACCTTAGGTCTTCGTTCTCGGTTGTTTGTGGGTTAAAATGGCGCTCATGTAGATCCGTAGAAAATCAAAGCTTCTAATGATTGGTTTGTGCGAAACAATGTTAAACAGCTGATACAATGGTCGGGCTTGGTAACTACTTGTAGAAATACAAACGCAACTATGGAGCGTATGTACAACCCTTCACGATTCTATCCAAGAAGAATATAGAGTGGGAATGGTCTGAAGATTATCAGGCGGTATTTGCTGATTTAAAAAAGAGCTTGTGATATGCTTCTTTCTTTGCCATCGCAAATCACGATAAGTCTTTCTATGTGGTCAGCGATGCATGTGACTATAGCTCCGTTGTGATTTGATGTAGATCAGTTATGAGGGTTGTTTCGTTCCCGACAACTCTGACACGCGAAAGGAAGCTAGCAAGCTCATGATAAAAGCCTCTTTGGATAAGTACGCTTTGGTCAAATTCCGTGAGTACTTGCTCAAAATGGCGCGCTTTGCGATCTATACGGATCATGCCTCGCTATGTTCGAAAGTAAAGATTTATAATATGCTGCAGAGAATGGCTTGCTGATTCCTCCTTATCGCGAAGTACAATATTGTCGTACTCTACAAGCCAGGCAAGACGATGATGTAAGCCGTTCCGTTGTCAAGACGTCCGAACTATGATCCAAAGTCAAGGAGCAAAATTGCAGCAAAGCGTGTCGACTATAAAAAGATGTTCAGACGATTTGCATGCAAGCTACGACTATGTTGCGCGTGGAAATTGTTGGAGGGTGCAAACCTGTTGCGAAATGTCTAAACTTATTGAGGAACTTCAAATCTCTCCGACAAAGCACTGCAAGGTCTTCCGTCTTGCACAAGATGGCGTGTTCACCGTTTTAGAGTGCATGATGGTTTGCTGTACGATGTGGCTGAACCCGGATATACACGAAAAGTTGTTGTTCCTAATTATGAAGGTTTGCGTCATCTTATCTTATATATGGGTACCATGACAGCCTTTAGAGAAATCATCTCCGACGTAAGAAAATGCTTCTTGGCTACACATGTATAAGTGGGTGGCAGGTCCGTGAGTACTTGCGACTGAGCTCTGTAGAACTGTTGATAATTCTACTGCTTCTTTCCACGATAATGACTTGTCATTCTTCGTGATCGACAATCTTCGCAACCGCTCTTCTCAAAAGTCCAGTAGCTAAGGCGGGATTGAGCGTGAAAACAATCAGAGCTGAATTTTGCACAATTGTGATTGGGAGCTCTGTCAGCGCCATTTAGGTGAAGCAGCCGCACTAACTTTTTCTTGTTTTGAAGACAAATAAACGCTTTTTAAAGGTCCTGTTTGGCTGCGACGGGCTTGGTCAAATCAATACATTGTAGATCAAACACCAGCAAACGAAAGAAACATTTAATATAAACTTCATTTTCCATCCCGGGGGGAAGTCAAAGAGTACCGGGATCGTTCATTGACGCTTAGGCAAAATGGTCTTCAAAGCTGGCTTGTTCTCTTAATTGCTTCAAAACCGATCAAATAGGTTATTGATTCAAACCGTCTGCTCAGAAAATCTAAGAACTTCTGACTCAATGGAAAAATTATATAATGATTTACGCTTAGCCATCACACAAAGGTACATGCCCGCAAAGATACATTTATGTATCTTTGCGCATAAATATATCTTTGCGGGCATTGTAAAACTCATCACAAATGAATTACATGGTGGGGGTTTACACCGGTGGCAATACCGGCGCGTCTCTGTCTTTGAAGTTGCCAGTCACTTCTGCCAGTAGCCTTCCGCAAAAAATCAAGCTTTTTGAAGTCCAAGCTCTATTTACCCACGATCATGTAAAAGTTCAAGCTGAGATACAGCTTCAGTACACACTTCCTTTATCATTCAGATTTATAGAAACACATTATTAGCAGTTAATCTCTAGGGGCTCCTGGGATGTTTTGCATATAGCTCTAGAAATCATTGCCTCCTTTCTGTTCAGTTTTAGATTCACCTTTCAGCCCTTTTCCCATTTAAATTCGGGACTGCACTTTTCCCTCTATGTCAGGACTGTACTTCCTTCTCCACATTGGGACAACTGCTATTCTTCTTCACGTTAGGAGTCGCTTTCTTGTCGCACAAGCGTATACGTTCTGATTGATGGACTGTTGTGAACAGCTCCCTTTTTTCTACAGTGCATATTCGGATATGGTCATCCGTTTGTTGTATAGCTTGCGCATCTGCTTGTCCAAAATCCAGTGTTCCCTACCCAAGCGTCAATGAATTGAAAGCTTTATCCGACTTGAGTTATTGGTGGCTCAGCCATCAAGGCACTGCTAGCGTCAATTCCCCTGAGGTTGTCTAGCTGATTGCCCCCGGGGATAGGGCATGCAGTGTCGTGGTGGTCGGTGGCAGTAACGATGGTCTGATTGCCTGCTAGAGAGTGTATCCAGAAGTCCTGCACTAGTAGAAGGACTGTCGCTTCCGATCCAGGTTTGGATATAATCTGCTGTACAGTTCGATGTTTTGTCAAGTATGCTAGACCGTACATCATACATCTTCATGTTTTGTGAGGCTAGTGTGGCAATATCACCCGCTGTGACTTGCATGCAAATAGTCTGGAAGGTCAGAGGTACCTTCCAACCTTCTTGAGCGTATTTAATAAGATTGGTCTTGATGAAGTGGCGACTGGCCAACGAGCTAGTGAAATGACGTCATCAGATTTGCTTCGGGGGTTCTGTAATTGTTGCTCTGTGTCTCAATGAACTCCGCAACGAAAAACTGGCGGTAGCATGATTGCGTAGAGGAAAAATTTAAAGTGTGACTATTGACCTACTTCCACCAAAAGCCACGGTATATTATAAATCCTTATGGTCCGCTTTATTGTGTTGAGGTCGGTGCAAAGCCCAAGTACCACCATGCAGCAGAAATGCTCTGTCCGTGTCGCCTTAATATTGAGAAATATAATTTTGCTTTTCGCTATTAAACTATCAGCTTTAAAGCCGTCTGAATCGCGCGACAAGTAAAGCGCAAAATATAATAGAAATTGGCTCACTCAGTCAATTTGTCACTCTGCCGTTAGGACAATGGTAATAGAAGTAAACATCCAAAGTTGGTCGAATCTACAACTACAAAGATTACATGTACATAATGCCCTTTTACTGCTGGCCCACCAAAAATTTTATTCAAAATGATGTTTCGACAAACATTTGCCCATCTGGTAAAGTCCAAGTGTAGTTTGTTGTTTTGTATATTATTATTTGTGATTCGCAAACCTGAGCCAAGGCCGCGGATTGCGCATTGGTTTCATCGGTAAATTCCAATCGCGTGGGCTTTTTCATCACCGTAGTTGATTGCAATTGACCAATGAGAACTGATACTCGAGATTTACCAGGACTTGTCTAACTTTAGCAGCGCCCCCAACCACGATCTCACCATTTTAGTGTACTGACTAGCCAAATATATACAGCAGCAGGGCTGCCGTAGCTTTGCGCTTAGAGGAAGTATAATTTAGGTCACCGACCATGCTTTCTTCTCAAGAACCAGTACGAGTATAGGGGATCGCATCCCGCTACATCCAAGAGTAGTTAGAACGTTAACCCAAGGCTAATAAACTCTTCTGTTCAAAGTGTAAACTGTATTTATTTGTTTTATCTGCTGCAAAGCCGCCTGATTTTAAATGTATAGATCTTCCTATATATGTATAGTAAAATCTAAATACATGCACAACTACTGGCTACCCAGCCACGTACCGTATTCTTATTTGGGTGCAGTCACAGCATGCCCATCTCGTGTGACATACACCCCTGTTACCAGGGTAAGTGTAATCCCGATATATCTACAGTACGCAATTATTGTAAACATAGGAACGAAGGAACGATAGCTCACGACTACAACTTTTGCTTTGCAAATGTAAACTACTCACTCTCTTACCACCTTAATTACAGTACCGTTCAAGTGCCTTACAGCTCCTTAATATCGTTACGATACACATTGATTTCTAGTATTGGATCAGCTGGTGTTACGGCTGCTCTATTCGTTCTTCTCAGTTGATAAACAGCCGGGCTACTTACTTTCCATTAAGCAAATATATGGTGTGCCCCCTTTTAAAACAAAGACCAGTCCTCAATCGAATGTGCACTTGAGTGCGCTATCTTGGTAAAATAGGCGGCTTCGACATTCAAAACGTGTTCGCAATAGATGTTGCGAGTTCTCACGTCACATAACAGACAAATCGGGTGCGTCTTAATTTCTTTTCCACCAACGTCTTCGGCTATTTAGAGCCGTGATAAGTCCTAAAATATCTGGGATCGTCGGGCTATTACGTACAACTGCGCTTCTGAAAATCAGTAGACAGTACGCGAAGGCATCGATACTTTACGTCTTGTGATAAAAACTTTCAGAGGTGATGTCTTAGTTTCGAATCAGCGAGTAGACTTTGACAGCGTGAACTTGTCTCGTCTTGGAACAATACTCGATGCACGATTCAATCTAGGTGTGGCTGGAACGCCAGAACATATAGGTACACTGAAAGTCAAACGTTTAGGTGTCACGCACTTTTATTCTGGAAATCCTTTAGCGAGTTTTAAATCCAGCGTGACCACGAAACAGAAGCGTTTTAGTCCGAGCATAAAGTTGCAATAGTTTCCGTACAGAACATGCACTTTTCCGAAATTGATAGCAATGGTATTGCGGGGGGCGCTGAGCAGAGCTCGAAAGGCAAAGCGACAGTGAGTCGAGGGCTCTAGATGAGATGAAGTAGAGCGACTGTGTATCGCGGTCTCTACAGTGTATATCTTTCAGGACGAAAAAGAACGACTGAATATCGTGCTCCCCAATGTACCGTATCGCTGGCGGGTTGTCAAATAACATACGCGAGCTGTTGTCACAGATCACAAATGAATATGTCGCTGCACAAGGTTTCGCTGAATATAATCGGCCTAGCTACACATGCAGTGTCAGCGGACTAAGTTGCGGGTGCGTTGCATTGAACCGTTCACGGTCAAACCAATACGGGTTCGAGTTATACGCTTAAACGCACCAATGGCACGCTGACATATTTTATATTCTACGTGGTCTATCCGAAGTCATGTAACAATTTTTTATAAAATTCCGTTGGGGAATGCAACGGGTTATGGCGCAAAAAGACCATTGTCTTTACTATCCTTTGCAGCTGTGCCAAGTCTGCCTCAATAAACACTTGCCGCTGTTGAAAATGGGCTTGGAGTAAGTAAGCCTTACATCGGAGAGTATAAACTCAGTAAGATCTCCACACCTGGGCAAACAATTCTTGTATCGCTGGGCTAGAGCGAAGGTTTTTGGTCGGAATTATTTGAGCCGTTTTCAACGGAAAGCACCTCGGCTTCCCCACCAAATGGTTAAAGCGCATCGGTTAGAAGACCGTGTTTTGAAAGAAGGCTCGTTAAGCCAATTATTTTGTTGCAAGGTAGCGGACTTTCTGTCCAAGAATGCAAAGAGGAACAGACTCCCAATGCCGCTGCGTGACAAGCAAAGAGCAAAGGTAGGTGCCACTTCAGACCATTACTTTCCCGTGGAGCTGAAATTGTTGCGCAGTGTCTTCGAAATAAGTATGAGTTCCAGCGTGATTCACATCATAGTGAGAGAGTTTCTAAAGGCTTCACAATTTTGTATACTTGTCTCTTGACATTTCGAACGATTTTATTCAATACAATATGGCACAATTGTACAAATTCAAATCTCACTTTGTGGGATTGTGAATATTCTTAATTACGAGAATATCGCTATCTATGAAGACGATGAAACTCCAAAAAGAAGGGACCCGGTGCATACGTGTGGCTGCTAGCCGCACATCATAACAAATATTTTATATTATAAAAGATCGTAAAACGAATATTTTCGGTTTTTTCAGATATTACATATGCACTCTAAAATGACCAAGCAAACAGTATGCATTAGCTTCGGGGGCAGTCCTTGTAGAAGCACACGGAACCAACCTCTGATAGTCAAAACTTCCTGTGTGCAAAGTGCAGGACAACCACGTTGTCCTCGAAATTAGCGGCCCACAGTTAATGATTTCCGTTCGTCACCGTTTGGGCGCACCTGGATGTGCTAATATATTTTTTTTATAAATCTTTTCACCGATAATTCAATGAACCGTAGTTATGAGTATGATATCTTACAAATTGCACTCAATTGCACATTCAAAAAGTTTCTGAGCGCTTTTAGACACGTTACTTCCACATCTTGCCCCGGAAATACCAGTACCTATTTTCAGTCGGGACCAACGATGGACATAAGCTCATTAAGTTGGTAGAGTTGTCCCAGTCGAACATTTCATGTTTCATCCTCGGAGAGGAATCAATCCTTTCTTGAACTGGTTGTAGGACTGTCTACAAGCGCTACAAAGTGTAACGGGGTTTTTGGCACCTTGTAAAAAAGAAGCTTTGACTCTACAGTCCGCATTAACGAACGCACAGACTTTGGATTCCTAAGCTCCTGCCCGAAAGCTGTTAATGTGTTATTCTATAGTAAACTATTTTTCGAGCTAATGCTATTTTAGTAGTCCTGTTTGTACGTTTTACTATTTCTCAAAATAAAATTATCTTTATCGTCAGACGTGCTGCTTACGTACGCCAGATCCCTATTTCATCATCCTAATACATACTTCGGTATTTATGAATACTCAAAATTGTAACCCCGTGCAGTGTTGTATACAATTGTCCTAAACTGTAAGTTATCAATAGACAATCTCATTCCTTTTGTATCGTCGTATCATTTCCGTGTTCCACGAATTTATTTCTCGTAAGAACTTTTTATGTCATTCTCATGCTGATGTGATACAGAACAAAGCCCGAGGCTGATATTACTAATCTGACAATTTGGATGCATCCCTTCAAGTCTCGAATATTTGCGGTTGAGATTGCACGAAAACCAATACTCATTATACAAACGTCCCTCAGATAATCCTGGTAGCTCATAAACTTGTATAACTAATAAAACTTTGTTTCACCAAGCTTATTTGGATGTGGCCAAATAAATCCAAGCCCAAAAGTGCTCAAATAACTAATAACCTTGACTAACGCATAGTTGTTTTATCCACGCATTTATTAGTTATCCAAAGGACGATTGTAGTTTCTCTTAAAATGGAAAAAACAATAACTGGGGAAGCGATTGATATGAAGCAAAATTTTGCCATGGTAAAACTAATCTAATAATTCCAAGAGATACCATTTACCGTCCCATTTAGCCTTCCCATTTGGTAGTTCCCTCCCAAAAAATGGAGCCATCCCTAACTAATGAACAGCAATCAACTGATGATGGTAAGCTGGCCCCCACGCGCGGCTACTCGAAACGCGGTGACGGATTCTCTGTGCAGGAAACCGAGGGTCTTCTTCAGGAGGTGCGCGAGCGCTGGCAAGAAGGATGGGATACGATCGCTGAGCTGCACAACATGCAGTTTCCTGGTCACAAGAGAACTGCTGGGTCACTCAAGCGCAAGTTTGCCAAGCTCTACCGCGCCAGAATTGACACCTCTACAAAGGCTAAGCACGCGCGTATTGCTGCAATGGCAAAGAAGGTTCGCGAAGAAATGCGTGGCCAGCGACGTGGGCTCGCTACCTCTACTCGCGTGCTTGGCGACGACCTTGTGGCAGACACGGAGGCCGAGGTTGGCGTTCAGGAAGTGCATACAGATCTTGATGAGGTCAACATGATCACTTCCCATTCGGTTACGCATTCTCAATCGTTGCCTGAAACAACAGTGACGGTAAGCGAGCACGAACTGCGGCAGACGCTAACCCAAAGCGTGCCCGTGACTAATGAAACGGCAGATGCATGGCAGGCAGCAATAAGTCGCTGGCCGGTCGCCAGTGATCAATTGCGTCGGATGCGTTTGCAGATTGAAAGCGGTGAGCCCACGTCTAGCCAGGATCTAGCGCAGACTGTGCTCCTCGTTTTGCTTGAATCTCAGCATCAACGGGACTTGGAACGGGATCAAGAACGCGAAGAACGTCGACTGGAACGTCAGCGCTGGCAAGATGAACTGCGTGAGCAGCGACTGCATTACCAGGAGGAGCGCGCAGAGGATCGACGCAGAAACGAACAGTTCGTACAGGTTATGACCACGCTTGTGGCTCAAATTGCCGCAGGGCAACAGCGAAATGGGCTGGACTGAGTGAGCGTGCGTGAAATTTGTTGTAATAACACCAAAGGGCATGATGAGGTCGGATCGCACAGTTCCAAGGGCATTTTCTTGGCATTTTTCCATTATACGAATTAGCATGTACTCGCCTCGCAATTAACGTTCGATTGTTTGGTCAAGGCAAAAAATATAATAAAAGTGTTCTTTATCGTACTTGATCTGCGTTTTTGGCGGAGTTTTGTGACGGATCGGCGAAAAAAAGTAACAAGGTGGTGTTAAATGGATAATTTCTTAGCGCTCACAATAAACTTGATACCGTAACCAAGCGCCACCGCGTTCGGGGCGGTTAGTGTAAGATATATCACATTTCGAGCCCCTCTCTACTCCAAGCATGCCTTGACCCGCTACCATGAAATCAAGCCTTAACCTATGGAGTCACATTCCAATGCATTAGCCTTGTCCTTCACCGCGTTTGTTTGCCACTTGCTACTATGCTAACTCCATTAGACATTGTTGCATAAGTCGTCGACTACAATGAAACTTACCCTAGTTTGACATTCCGTTTTGTCCCGCAGACTACCCTAATAAGTGCTTACGGATGAATGTTATGATACTTAGACATAAAAACATGTGTTACCGTTCTTTGGAGAAACTTCCATTCTGAATATATACTATTGATTTTGAGCGTCTCAATTCGGCACTCTAGGCACTCGTGAACCCATCCTTATAATGTTTGAAAACAATTCTTCATTTGTGCAAGGTACACGACAACATGTAAGCCACTGTCGCCAATATGATGGACCTAGCCTGTTCATTGGGGCTATGAAGCCGTGTTTATATATCTGCCTCTTCACTAAATAGAGAGTGAGGCTCACAGCATTGTTTTGATAACATCAGCATTCCGGGCTTTGGGGGCGTTGAATAGATCTGATAAGTCTAGATAGGTAATGCAGATACGATATACGCACAACGAGAGTCAGAATCAGCAGGGAAAATTTGGAGAAACAAAGAATGACGAGTCCGGATAAAAAATTCACTATATACAGCGTTGAAAGTTCGTCCGAATCTATTTAATGAAGTTTCAATACTTTGATTTCGTAAAACACTATTTGTCGTAGACTAAGATACTCGTTCTAGATATGGTCTGGCTGGACCGGAAAGAGCCACGCATCGACTATCAGTAGGTTGTCATCGCTTACTCTATTAGTGGGGCTTACTCTACTAGTGGAGCTCAATCAAGTCGTAAGACCGCCATTGCTCGAGCACAAAAGTACAAAAGTACTTTTTGGCACGGGCACGACTCTGCGACAGGTTTGTTGCGGTCACGGATCTGTCAGGGTAATTAGCAGCATTATTGCTACGAGTCTTGGGCGTTGCGCGGCAGGCAAGATTAGTCTTGAGATTCGATTCTGTACGTCAAGGTCACAAGTGTGTCGACATCAACTAGCGAACATCTTCGCATTCATCTACGCAGATCTCGGCTGGAACAAGATCTGCTGTGGTCTTCGGGATTCATACGATCGAAACTTTTTTTGAGCAAGCTGAGGTGACCATAGGCTTCTTTCGCTGGGTCGGCCGGCATGAAACCTTAATATATCTTGCGGAATCCATTTTTTCATCGGATTCGATCAATGTTGCGGTCTCCTGGACAACCCCCTCTTAATAAAAGTGACTGTGAGCTGCGTCTAAGATAGCTAGACCCTGATGTTAACACAAATGGCTCATCATTGTCATTGTGTGATAGTATAGCTGAGTCAGCGACACTAAGTAATGCGCGTACCGAGCGGTACACTGAAGCCTCTCGGAATTGTGGCACTTGTAGATGGTTACTCTTTGGAAGTTGATGAGTGGTAAGTTGTGCCTCATCATTTTTCTTCTAGAAGCTTCTAAAGAGTTTAAAAGATTATCGCTTTACATGTATGCACGGAGTTGCTAGCCGATAAAATCACAAAGTTATTACAGTTATTACCGGAGAAGAAGCTGCTTTGAACAATTAGAACGAATGCCTTCATTACTGGACACTCGAAAAGCGAAAGGTTTGGGATTAGGACGGTTATCAACCCAATGTATATAAAATTATTTATTGTCACTCATGAAATAGTGAAAAGTGGGCATCAGGATCGATGTGTGTCACAAAATTGACGAGGTCCTAAAACCAGCTTTTGCATCAAGCACCAACGCCTCTTTCCAAATAAATAGTGCGACATAGTTAGCGCTTTTCTTCGCTAGAAGTACGAAGCGCGCTTGTTCAGGTAGAATAACCTCTTCACTCAACACCGAGTATTGCATCTGAAAGGCCATTGCAAACAGCGAGTTGCGAATTGTGCATGCGTAAAAAGGTTAGTGTAGCCACTATCAGGCGGTAATGATGATTTCTCAAAAAATTGAAGTATGCTCGAACGTTTCTTTTACAATACTATTGACCTGGGCAATAGGTATCGTTAATACCTCAACAGTATCAGTGATATTCCTATCACTGTGATGAATACTTCGATGATTTTTCGGCCGAAATGTGATGGACATACCCCAGAAATTGTTTGACGCGTCATCGAAGCTTAACCACCTCGTACCCCGATAACTCATCCATACGCACATACGCACATACGCACATACGCACATACGCACATACGCACATACGCATACGCCTAATATATTCGTCGATATTCCTACAGAACATAAGTATCGGATGTGTACATTTATACCGAAAACTTTCGAGCTGTGCTCGATTATAAGAAAATATTTGCTAATCTTGAAAAAATCATTGATGCTGATCGAATCATTTGTGGTGGATGCTTTATTCGAAAGCAGGGTCTGCGGGAGATTTTGTGGAGATCACGATGTCTACGTTTGAAGTGCTGAAGTCTCTCTTTTGTGCTGTGCTCTGACCCAATCTGCCATAAATTAAATGAATCGATGAGAAACCGTAGTTGGTATGGTCATGGCTTTACATAATTCTTGCGTAAAAAGCAGAATTATGTAAAGCCATGACCATACCGTTCGGATCTAGACTGACAATTTTGTGTTATATATGCAATTTTGGCCTTTGTAATTGGTTGCACTTTCCCCAAAGATGTTACTAATGTGCGTGAGCGCGTCTTTGGGTTAGAGTTACGCCATTTTTAAGTGACAAAAACAAACTACATATTTCAAGACAATTGTCTATTTGCCCTAATGTATGCCATTCACAAGTTCAATGTACATCTGCCCCTCGAACATTCATTTGCGATTTATAAAGATTGGATGTTATCACTTATAGCCAGGCCTCTCTAAATACGGCAATCTATAAATAGAATCCGTATATTTCGTGATTGGTTTTTTTAAATGTTCCGTTTTTTAAAAAAAAAAATTATTCTTATCTCCGTCACGCCGTTTCGCCATACTAGGTAGTCACTTCCGTGCTGATTTGCTGTATTTTTGTGCATCCATCAAGATGTCTGAGCCCGCAGCAAAGCGCCCTTGTAAAGCTGGTGCCTGTAAGACTTCGTTTCAGACGAAACATATCGTGCAATACGGTCTCTCGATCACCGCTCGTGACCGCAGTCGTT